GCAATCGAAAATTGCTGTAGTGTACAAATTACAGTGGATTAGGTAGCAAGCAAAGCTCTTCAGGTCATGGGTAAAGAGAACGCCTTGCCAGATGCCAGTCTAAACCACGTAGGACCAGCAGATCCAGACAACCTTCCAGGTCTGTATCATAGTCCCTCCGCAACTTCCATCCCACCCCTTTTGTCAACCATTTCCTCATCTAATCCCAGCCACAGCCACGAATCCCCACAGCCCGGGTGTTCGCCAACTGCCAACCCGCCACCAGATGAAGTGTTTATACACGGAGAGGTGTCATGGCATTTAGCCAGAGCCACCCTTGAAGGCCTTGCCGAAGAGCAGGACCTGGAGCTGGTCGTAGATGGACAGGACACCAGCACCGGCGACACCACGGAGAATGTTGGCACCAGCACCCTTGAAGAGAGACTTGACACCCTCCTTGGCGACGATCTGCTTGCCGGCGTCGAAAGTGCCCTTGTACTTGACGGCCTCACCAGAGGTCATCATCATGCGACGACGGATGGTGTCAAGAGGGTAAGAGGCGATACCGGCACCGGTGGTGACCAGCCATCCGAGAGCGAAAGAGGCGAGGAAGTTGTTCTGGAGGGAGCCGACGAGGAGGACGGGCTTGATGGAGTCGTACATGCCGAAGTACAGACCACGGTAGACGACGATACCGGCGACGGAGGGCATGAAGCCACGGTAGAGACCGGCAATACCGTCGGAGGCGAGGGTCTTGCGGTAGACGTCAATGAGGCCGTTGAACTGGCGCTCACCACCCTTCTTGGCGTTCTTGTTGTCGTTGGCCAGACGGGTACGGGCGTAGTCCAGGGAGTAGACGAAGAGGAGGGAAGTGGCACCAGCGGCACCACCGGAGGCCAGGTTACCAGCCATCCACTTGGCGTAGCCGTCCTTCTCCTTCTTGTAGCCGAACATCTTCTTGAACTTGTCACGGAAGGCAAAGTTCAGGGCCTGGGTAGGGAAGTAACGGATGACGTTGGCAGTGTTACCACGCCACAGGGACATGACACCCTCGTCGGCAGCGGTACGCTTGAAGCAGTCGGCGATACCCTCGTACTTGCGGTCCAGACGGCCCTGCTTAAGCATCTCATCCTGTGAGGTTGTTAGCGGCTGTCGCTGCTGATGGACTGTGGTTGAATGTGACAGGGGCCAGGGTCACGTGTCAAGCGAATTGACATTTTACCGGGGGTACCCGGGTGGACCTGGCTGGCCAACTGTCAACATCGCAGAAAAGTTCTCACTAACCTGGTTCTGGATGAGGAGCTTAATACGCTCGATGGGGGCAGCAGCAGTCTTGGAGACGGCGGCAGAGACACCTCCCACTGTTGCAATTGTTAGTTCGTGTTCAGTAATGATGCTGTGTATATCGCGCCTTCCCGACCCAGCTCGCCGAAACCGGGGAGCTGAGGGGAGCAAGACGTCAATGTCGAGATCAATTGAACGTACTGAGGAAGTCGGCCATGAAGGGCTAGAGGATGAAACGTTAGCATGTTCTTGTCCTCTGATGTGATTGCATCCCATTGCTTGACGCCGAAAAGAATTGTCGTTGTTGGCACCGAGTCGATTCAACCACCGCCGATAAGCTTGTGATAGGCCATTGTCGCATCAAAACAGGTCGACGTTCGCAAGACCTTGCCCTTGCAGTTGAGGGCATTGTTGATATCGATGGCGGGAGATGGCAGGTCGCTGGTGGGTGCAGGCGGCGTCGACGACAGCGAGGCAATTCTTTTTTTTCGCGCAGCCGGGAGAAGGAGGGGAAGCGAGGGTGAAGCTTACCGGCATGCCCAGAACGCGGACTTCTTCCTTAGACATCTTGGCTGTGGTATCTTCTCAAAAGATCAACCTTGGAGAAAAGAATGAGCGGAGATGGACGGAGGAAGGAGAAGGATGTGAGGGAAAAGTGCGAGTCGAGAGAATTTAAGTGCTCCGACTGTAGCAGGTTTGAGGGAGGGAAAAAAATTCCTGCAGGGTGGCCGAAGAAGGAACAGCTTTTGAGCGAATCTTCCCGGGCGCGCTAAAAAGGAGCAAGGGCCACCACAGACAGGCTCAGGGTGGGAGAGCGAAGGTGGGCGCCGTCTCCACACTCACAGTCCGCCGTGTCCTCTCGGGGCTCCAGAGTCTGGAAGGGGCCCCACCCGCCCCCCTTCCACCTCCCCCCAAATTCACACACTGGAGTGCTCACTCGCTGGGAAGGTGCAGGTCGACGAAGTTTTCTGGCCGGGCAACAGCACTGGGGCGGCCCAGGACAGGTGTCTGTTTGCTGCCTGAGGCTGTAACGCTAGTCTGCCATGGAATTGAGATACCGGTTCACCCCGAGATTTGCACGGGGACTCCGCTGCAACGAGAGCGCACCATAGCCGTAGCCGCGAGCCTCCAGCTGTCTCTCCAGGCCTTGGACGGACGCTGGGAAACGCCTTCCAGCGAGTTGCCACAGTGTTTCCAATCGATGCCATGTCTCTGGATGGCATCAGAGGGCCTGTTTTCGGCTAACGGGACGGTGCAAGAGAGGCCCAAGGTGCCAAACAAATACAGCAGCACGGATTGGACAGCCAGCCCTTGGGTGATGAGAATCCATTCCATGACCATTGTTCGGACAGCAAATGGTTTGCGTCGTCGCTGTTCCATCGTCATAGGCATTGTTGCTGTGGCACATCACAGATACATAGGATATATACCAAGAAAACTTTCGTAATGCTTTTGTTCAAGTCGTGCCAAAATATTGACTGCCACGAACATCCGCAACTTGCCCCGGATATGCTGCAGAAACAGACAACGCAACGTGCAGAGCAGCAGATATCAAAAAACCCCTCTTCGATGGACTCCCGTCGCTTCCATCATCCCGAACTCTGCTCCCATGTCCCGATGCCAAGCAGCCTGGCTAGCAGACGGGGCAGCCTCCAGTGTCTGGGGTCCTGTCAGCCCGCAAAAACGCACGGCGTCCAATCCTTTGAGCCGCCGCCGCTATTTCGCAATCCGCCACTGACCTGCATCCAGACAGCCGAGCTTAAAAAAAGAAAGAGAGAAAAACACAGGCTTCAGGGGTCGCTGTTCAGTATCCGTAGTACGTATTGCGTATGTAACACGGAGACACTGCCTGCGTATCCATATTCTTTCCCTTCCAGGTACTGCAGCCGAGTCAAGCCCCTCGGGTCTATTCAGCGAAAATGGCAGGTCTCCCAGTGCGCATCTCGGTCCATTGCGTGGACTGTGGACAGACAGCCCAACTCACATGCTGGTGAATCGGGCTCAATTGCGGATACCGATACAGTGGGTGATTGCCGGCCGACCTGGTGAGCATACTGCTCTTGGGCAAACGTCGGAATTCAGACAATGAAGACGGGTATCTGGCCATGCTGGCTTCGTTTGGTGTAGCAAATATGTACTCACAAAACAACTGTCTGGAAATAATGCGGCAGATCTATGGGGCAAATCTGTGTCGGCCAATATAAAATTTGCCATCTTTTGACAAGGAGGGATTGTTTTTTTTTTTCCCTCGCCTCTCGGATGCGGCTATGGAACATGCATCCTGTGCCGCACCTCAGTCGGAGCAGCATGCAGCGAGCACCCATTGACTTTTGCTGGCAGGACATTTTGGAACGGGCACGGTTCCGTGGCCATCACTCCGTTGTTTACACATGTCCACCTCCGGACCACGACGTCACGGCCTCCTTACTCGTACACGGCAGCATCCTGATACCGGCGTCGGCGAGAATGGCCTGGGCAGGCTCACCAGCTGTATCACCTTGGCCGAGGCCTTGTTTGACGCGACGTCGGGATGCCTTACGTGTCCGTACTGATGCTCCGTCAACATTGATTCGGCGCCCGGGACGTGCTTCTTTGTCGTCCGGTCAAAGCCAAATTTTTACCGGGTGAGGCTGCGATGCCGAAGGGTTCGGGACCCTCCAGCCAGTGAAGCGGGAAGCCGGGATACCGGGACGAGGAGGGTTTGATACGGCCCATTCCTTGGCACTGCCATTGGCCGGCTTCGCCAGCTGTTCTTTCGAGTGGACTCTGAACTGGAGACTGCAACTGCCACCTCAGCTTCTCCTTTTCAAACATGGGGACCCGTGAGAAACTACTGATCGGTCTGACTAAGGTGCGGTAAGGCTTCTTTGATGGCAGGGGTGAGGCACTGAGCGCGCTGGGCTTGCTGCTCACCTCGCTCCGTTCTCTGGCTAAGAGAAGCGCCGGCGGGCCGCAAACAGCGTGGCTTCCATTTCGCAGCTTAGGTTACCCGCGGCACAGTGGGCGGTGATGACTGGTGGGTGAGGTGGTCCTTGCTGTTTTCCGCGCAGGCACCTTGTCGGTGTCGTCGCTCATGCCTCCTGCCTCCTATTGGTGCATCGTTTATCGGATTTCGAGACGGCGTTTACGCCTAAGGCAGGAACAGCCGTGTCTGCCATGCTGCTTGCCTTACCTAAGCTCTGACCTCTGCTGAGCACAACTGGGAAAGCTCCTGGCAAGCCTACACGTGACCATCAGCTCCAGGACAGACCAGCTGAGCTGAGCTGAGGTACCTTCCCGTCCAGCCGTCACCTTGAGCCTCCTCCTGCCCGCGTGTGAAGCTGCTGCTCTGCGTAAAAGGCTCGTCACGCCCGCCGGATGCTCCAGATTCTGTTCTGTTTCCCCATCTTCATACTCCAAACCTTGCCGACACCACCGACCAACAAGAAAATTTCATCGACCGCCTAGTGGCCCGCCTGCGACCAGCATCCAGCAGAAAAAATTCCATCTCCGACATCTTTCATCACGTGATCATTCTCACCCAGCAGCCAAAAAAAAAAAAACATCACCCAACGACACGCCCACGACGCGCGCATAGAGGTGTGGCTCCGATTGCCATCCCTACACCCCCCAAACGCGCCCAGATAGATGCCCTGATCCACCCAGAGCTCTCGTAGCGGTTGCCAGTACGTCCTGCCTCGCGACCTTCGTTCAGCCTTGCGATCCCCATCAAACATGACACCTCTCTGACCTTTGACATGCAGAACCTGGCGCCCATTCATCTTCTCCAGAGTCGCGACGGTCCCCTCGATCGCTGGCGAGGAGGACTTTGGGGGATGAGTCACTCAGTTGCCCATACTCCTCTCGAGACCTTGTTCCTTTTCCAGGAGCTCGCCCGCACCGGCATCACCACCGATGGCTTCGACCGAGCCGCGAAAGCTCTCGTCGAGAATGAGCTGATCAACACCGATGCCTCCTACGATGCAGCCCGTCTGACCCCAGACGCACTCCGACAGCTCTTTCTCAACGTCTGGACCGAGGAACTGGCGACCGCCAATGGGACAACGACCTCTCCGAATTCCAAGAGACGCAAACTGAATCGCCCACCCGTTCCCACCCTTAAGGAGGCAAAGCAACAGGTCGCCGAGTATCCGGCACTCGTGGAGAGACTATACGCCAGATGGAGAGATTCGGCCGTGAAGAGCATCAGGGAACAGGAGGAACGACTCATTGTGTTGGCTGGGGAGATAACGTCTTTGGATGCCGAGGAGAGAGCGGAGAAGGCGGAGAAGGCGAAGGCGGCTGCACCACCACGCCCGCCAGCTCCTAACGGTACTCCAGGGCCCAAGACAACGCCGACGCCGGTCCCGGTTCCATCTACGCTCCCGAATCCTGTGCAGGCCGCGGCTGCCCAACCGCAGGTCAAGCCTCCGGCTCCAGCGCCTCATGTCGAAGCACCGAGACAAATCAGACCCGCCCCGGCACAGGCCACAGCTCCGACGCAAACCCCAGTGCCAGTTCCAACACCGGTACCTCTGCCTCCTCAAGCTCAAATCAAGCAACCCCCGACTACGACGCCAGTACCACCACCGGTTCCGCAAACCGTACCTGCCAGGCGAGATGTGGCCGCCCCTGCGGGTGCCTTCCAACAGCCGCCGCCGCCTCCGCCTCCTGCACAAGCAGCAGCGGCTGCCGGGGCATCTCCTGCACCTGCAAATGCTCCAGCTTCAAAGCCGCATCAACCTCCAAAGCCTCACAGTGGCTCTGGTCAGGTCTTGCAGCCCCCTGTTGGTGCTGGTCAACCACCAGTGAGGCCCGGGCAGTCGACATCGCCAGTGCCTCTGCCAGCGATTTCACCCAGACCAGACAGTGTTTCGAAGACGCGTACTCCTGGCCCGCCAACTACTGCACAGCCAGCAACCCCGGGTACTTTCAAGTGGGAGAAGCCTTACCAGCCGACTGCTCAAACGCCTGGCCGTCCTATGCCTCCACAAGTGCCTGTAACCTCAGGACAACCTACGTCCGGTCAGCATCATCCTTCACAATGGTATTCTCAACCTCAAGGTCAATATCATGGCCCTTCGCATCCTCCACACGTACCTATTCAGCCGAGCCCAGGCCAAAGGTATCCTCAGCAATCACAACCTATGCTAGTACCCCCTCAGGGTCAACCACAGCCACAACCACAACCTCAGGCTCGCCCACCGCCTCAAGGTCAAGCGCAGCCTCATGGGCAGACGCAGCCAAAGGGGCAGCTGGTTGCGCCGATGCATTCGACGCCCGTAAAAGGCCCACCAGAGGGGTCTGCGATCCAACCCCCGGGTCGGCCGATCTCCACGACGACGATTGCCCCTCCGGTCCGACCTCAACCCGCACAACATCAACAGAGTCATCCACCAGCCTCTCACTCATCTCATCCTCCTCAACCTCCACACCCACCGCAACCGCCAACGGGCTACCAACCACCTCCCCAGCGGCCCCTGGCTGCATCACCTACGCCGCCATCCGGTCCTCCAGCACCAACTGCAGGTGCTGCAACGAGATGGCCTCAGTCGCAACCACCACCCTATGCGCAGCAGCAGTTTAGTCCCACGCCTGCTCCCGTTCAGCCTCCCAAAGCGGCCGAGAATCAAAAGCGTGTCACTTCTCCCTTCGTTAAACAGCAGCCACATACTGCCATTCCAGCTCATCTGGCTCCGCAGCTTGCAACGCCAACACCGCAAAGATCCGCAAGCACGCCCATTCCGCCGCCGCAAACTCCTGTCACTGCGCCTCCCAACTTTTTGATCACGGGCTCCGGAACCAAGTGGACGAACAAAGCTACACCTTCCACTCCTCGACCGTCTGGAAGGGAAATCCAAAGCCCCGCTTATGAGCCGTTGAGCCCGCCTCAGCAGCTGGCGCCACTGCCAACATCGACACCCTCTCAACCATCGAAGAAGTCTAGCCCGAAGCCGGTCACAAAGCCCGAGACGAAGACGCCTAGAGGTCGCGGCCGGCCTCCCCGCAGTGCAAATAAGATTCGGGCTGGCAGCACACCATCCTCAGTCGTTGGCGTGCCGCGTAGGAGCCAGTCAGTCGCCTCTCAGACGGACGAGCTTTCCATGGACCACGTTGATTTGGCACCGAGAGTTAAGGACGAGAATGCCACTCCCAGAGTGACGCCCAGGGCTACGCCCAAGCCGCACGACGAGACCGGAGATACGACTGCAGACGAAAGTGTACCCAGTCGCAGAAATTTGATTACACCCAGCGGCGTGGCGTCCCGATTGGCCCATAAGCGCAAGCGACAGGACACGCCAACAGACCTACCAGCAGCGCCGCCAACCACCGTAAGCTGGACGCGTCAGTTTGGTCGTGTTAGTGCCGCCGCTCTCGATCAAATTTCAGCACACAGATTTGCCAATCAGTTCGCGAACCCAATCCGTGAACGCGACGCCCCTGGTTACAAGGGTTTAATCTTGCAGCCTCAAGACATAAAATCCATTCGGGCAGCGATTACCCACGGTAACCGAACAGCTACGGAAGCCGCCAAGGGTCTTCCAGACGGAGACCCGGGCACGGGCACGGTTATCCTGCCTATTGGCGATGACTTGGTCCCCCCCAAGAGCATCATCAACAGCGCACAACTTGAGCGGGAACTTTTCCATATGTTCTCAAACGCCGTCATGTACAATCTGAACCCCAGCCGTGGGCCGGGACCGTCCTTCGTGAGGATGGAAACCTCAGAAGGAGCAGATGCTCTGGGATATGAGGTTGATGAAGATGCCGTGGTTCGGTCGACAAGGTCGATGGCTGGAGAAGTCGAGAAGATCATAGGAGAGCTCCGTAATGCAGAGAAGGGTCGCTCGGGACAAGATCCGTCGACTTCTGGCAACACCAGACCGGCTAGCGTCGCCACCGGTGAAGATACGCCGATGGCCGAGGACAATGATGCGGATGAGCTGGCTGGAGAAGCGGATATTACTTCAACCACGCGCAGAAGACGCGTGGGTACGAGGAATTGACTACCGCCCCGAATGGAGCAGTCTATCGAGCTGGAGTAGCACATTGGAAACGGGCTATAATTACCCTGCATTAGTTTAATTAGGATACAGCAGGCGCGCCGCGGCTTGCTTGCTCACGATAATGTTGACAACGTCCGTCCGGGGCCAATAACCTATAAACGTGCCTACGCGACCAAAGTGTTGAGGGTGACCGACTGTTGCGGTTGTGACGAGGCTTAGTATAGAATTGGCGAGTACGACGATGTTCAGTATGACACAGATCTTACGCGATGCAGATCGGGAAGCCAACTTCGGGAAGTGCACTTCGGAATGGTAGTTCGGGCAGACTTTCTCGGGAGGTATTGTTCGGGCAGACTATTCTGTTTTTGAGGTGAATGCTTATTGGTTGCCTCCCATTTTTTGGCCAGGCAGACGTCACAACAGCACCAATCAAAGAAGCATTCCCAACTGGCAGTCTAATGCAAGTCTAGATTGATAAACGAAGCTCCAGTCATATCGGAAACATCACCGGTGACCGCCGCGCGGAGGGCGCTCGGGTCCGAAGGAACGGCACAAAGGTGCTTCCCGATATCACCTTTATTTCCGAAGATCCTTCGCTATTACCCGAGCGAAGATGTCCAAAAAGACAGCAATACCCATCTCAAGACATGTAGTTGTCAATATTCTTTCTTCTTATCATTGACACGGGTGGTTTGGTTCCAGCAGAGGCACCGCAACCTCAACATCCGCTTCTTAGTGGACTCGTTTACCCAACCGATTATCAGCGCCGGGCTTGATTCCTCAACTCTCAAATTCAGAAGAAAGCAATCAAAACATCAGACATCGCTATCATGGGTCCAGAGACATCTCATGGAAAAGATGATATCCTGCTGGCTCCCGGCCCAACAGATCTCGAACTCGCCGCCCTGCCGGGCCCGGCGCCGATCACCGGCCCCACCCATCCGAAAGACTCGGACCCCTTCTTGGTAACCTTCGCCGAGCCCCACGACCCCGAGAACCCGCTCGACTGGCCCGCCGGCCGCAAGTGGATGGTCACCGACGTCCTCTCGGCCACGGGCTTCAACCGCATCATGGTCTCGACCATCATGGCGCCCGCGCTGACCAACATCGCCGTCGAGCTCGACATGTCCTCGACCGAGTCCGCCATGGCGCTGTCCATCTACCTCCTCGCCACTGCCTTTGGCCCGCTCATCATCGGGCCCATGTCCGAGATCTACGGACGGCAGGTCGTGCTGCACGCGTCGAGCGTCTGGTTCCTCATATGGAACGTGCTGTGCGGGTTCGCTAACACGAAGGGCACGCTGATTGCTGCGCGGTTCCTGGCGGGCTTTGGCGCGAGTGCGATCTATGCGCTTGGAGGGGGCGTGCTGGGGGATATTTGGCGGCCGGAGCAGAGGGGACGGAGTTTGGGCATGTACATGCTGATTCCGCTGCTCGGTGCTGCTGTTGGTGAGTCTGCTCTGCCTTCGATGTGAGAAGGCGACAAGCTGACGTGTGTGCCAGGGCCTATTATTGGCGGCTTCATAGCAGCGCGGACGACATGGCGTTGGATGTTCTGGTCGACGTCCATCTTCCAAGGCGCCATGATCTTCGTCTCCTTCTTCAGCTTCCCCGAGTCCTATGCCCCCCTGATCCTCCGTCGGCGAGCTACGCGCCTTCGCAAAGAGACCGGGGAGACGCGGTACCACACAGCCAGCGAGCGAGTCGACGCGGGCAGGTCCGCCTCGAGCGTCCTCGCGCGTGCCCTGTCGAGGCCCCTCCGTCTTCTGCTCTTCCACCCCATCATCCAGGTCTCCGCTGTCCTGTCGGGCTTTAACTACGGCATCCTGTACGTGGTGCTGTCCACGTTCTCCAACTTGTGGAAGGAGCGGTACGGCCAGTCTGTGGAGATCAGCGGGCTGCATTACATTGCGTGCTCGTTGGGAGAGCTGATCGGCGCGCAGGTTGGCGCACCGATGATGGATTACCTCTACCGACGACGCGAGCAGCCGCGCCCGGAGTATCGCGTCACGCTGATGTACTTTGGCATCGTGCCTTGCTGGGTTGGGGCGTTGATGTACGGGTGGACGGCTCAGTATGGGCTGCACTGGATGGTTGTCGATGTCGGTGTGGTCATCATGATGTTTGGGTTGCAATTGGGAGGCATGCCTAGTAAGTATTCGTCATGTCTTCGATAGAGGGATGCTAATTCTAGCAATAGTGATGGCATATGTCATTGATACTTATGGCGAACATACCACCAGCGCTATGGCAGCGACGCAGTTTGTCAAGAGCTTGACGGCGTTCTTGTTCCCGCTGTTCGCCCCGAGCATGTATCGTGCGTTGGGGTATGGGTGGGCTAACAGCGTGATGGCATTGGTCGGCACGATGTTATCCGTGACTTTGCCTCTTTTTGTTTGGAAGTACGGCGCCAGGCTTAGAGCTAGAGCTGTATCGGCTTACTAGAATACCCATTATTGAGTAAGGAAAACATACTTGGGCACTGGCTTATTGAGAGGGTTATTAAGTGCATCATATCCAATTTCAACAAGCCACTGTAGTGCTTTTAACGGCAGCACTGCCATCATATGCCATGAAACCAGTGCCCTCACGGCAACCAACATACTCCGCTTGAACATCTCCACCCTTCAAGATTGACGTCTCCTCCCACAAAGTAATCTTCCCAACCCCATTCCCCATCGGCCCAACCGGACAGTACGCCTCCATCCACTTCTTCCTCAACTTGACATGGCCCCTGTGCACACGCCCGGCCCGCTCGAACTTGCTCATGTCCATCCAGTAAAACAGCTCAATCTTGCGGTTGTGGTTCAGATTGATGAGCCCTTCGTGATCACGGAACCGGCCGTTCTCGGGGACATAGCCCATCCTGACGTCAAGCAGCCCGTTCGCGGCCGCGTTGTCGCCGAGGTGGTGCATCCACCCCGTCACCAGCTCGTCGAATTCCTCGAACCAGTACGTCTTCTCCGCGGGCGTCATCGCGGAGTGGTCCTGCCCCTCGACGAGGAAGCAGATGTTGTCCGGCACCTTGGTGATGCTCGTGCGGCCCCGGCGGATTTCTTCTGACTCTGGCACTCGCTCGGGCATCTCGGCCAGGGGCGAGGAAAACTTCTCATCCGCGGTGGCCTGGGCGAGGCGGTCGCGGAGACAGCCCCAGTAGCCGATCTTTTCGGAGAACATCTCCTTCTCCCCGAGGCCGTTGACGCCGTTCTTCAGGTCGGCGGTGCAGGCGTTTTGGGTGCGGCCGACGTCGACGGTCAGTGTCTCGCGCCACACGCCCGCGTCGTCGGGGAGGTTGTTCCAAAAGTCTTGCACGGGGCGGCTGGACCACCACTCGGCGTACGTCGCGGGGTGCCAGTATGATAGCCAGATCTGGGTGCCGAACGGCTTGTTCTTGGTGGGGTAGACGATGCGGTCGAGGTGGGCTTTGCCGTCGATCAGGGCGTCGAAGGACTTGATGAGGTCCAGCTGGCGGCCGGCGGGTTCATCGCCTGAGTATTGGACGCCGAAGATGCCGTAGATGAACTTGGCGCCTGGTTTGTGGGCAGCACGAGAAAACATGGTGAAGTATGAGTTTTCAGAATATGTTGCCAAGTGTGATATGGAGCCAACTACAGGTGCAAGACCTGGAGGTTTTACTTGAGATCTCCCACCGGATGACAGCTCCTCTAGTAGTCGGCCATCCTGTTATTTATATTTCGTCTGATACCCGACGTCTCAGCCAGCCACGCGAAGCTCGTTGCATGAGACGAGGGGTAGACCGCCATTGTAGTTACATTGGTGATCTGCAGCTGTATCTCATGTTCTGTTAGTCTATTGGGCGAAGAGCTGCAGCTTGGGATGCGTCAAGCTGATGGTCACACTCGCATTCCACCATAGCTTATCTTGGCCTTTTCAGAAGGATAAGGGTAGCCGTCAGCCAGAACGAGATATCACCCAGCTGACCTGGATATGGTGCGCGATTGCCATCTTTCCTCAATGGGGATCTTCCCATAGGCCAGCGCTCATTGAGCCTATTGAAGTCCTAGCAAACGGGTTTGATTCCGGCGCACTTTCCTATCATTATGATCGTTTGATTTCCGCATATGCATCAAATTCCGATTCCGCTCAGCCAATGATCAGCCGTATCAAACGGTCCTGGTTCCCCGCGGTGATCGCGGGAAGTCATTAACCTATCTGTAATCAAGAATCCAGCGCTTCCGGTTGGATCACACGATCTTCAGCGGGATTGTCAAAAGATTTTGAGTTTTACCCCAGACTTTACCTGCAGCCTTATCAGCCAGGGTCCCCGTACAATCGATGCGGCTGAGAGACCTCCGCACGAAGATGAGTCGAAGTTGACGGCGATAACGACTCGACAGCACTGACTCCGGCTCCGGGACGGCCCCACCCGGGGGGTTGTTGATGTCGTATGTGTTGAGGCATCTCGCTGAAGTCTGTCTTATGTCGCCAAAGTTTTGGGCGTGAGAAAAAATATCATCATGGGAGGTCTCAAGGTGCATTTGAGAGTAGTAAAGAAAACCGCTGTCAAAACGCACACGACTTTACGAGCACTGATAACACGAGGTATGTGGAGGATTTCATATAAAAGGCTTCTCATCTGGCATTTCAACAGATCAAACGACAAGAAACAATGTGCTCTTCTTTCTTGCATTAGGTATCTTCCTCGGAAAGACAAGTCCCCGAAGTGATTGTAAGGCCAAGCTGGCTGTTTCGTTGTAATAACGGGTCTGCTGGCTCTAGCTATCAATCCTTTTTTGAAAGTATTGTCTCATGTATAACACTCACCAGGTGAATGGATGTCCGAAATCATGATTGAACCTTTTGTCAAATTCAATCAAGCTTGGGGTCTAACTCTCAATTATTCGTGGCTGAACTATCAACGGTCAATGAGGGATAAGACGAAAGGATGCTTCGCCTGCCGCAGAAATTCACTTTTCTTCATGGAGGTCGTTGTGGATGGATCAAGTCGACCCGAACTCTCAGAAACAGAGACGTCATAAAACGTCCCCTCAATTTCTTCTGGAGAGTCAATCATACTTTGACTCGCCGGTGCTTCAAATAGGTACTAGACAACTGGTGTGATCTCATGGTGACAGACATGGTGCACTTTGATATAGAAAATACGCCGTATAAAATGTGCCACACGGCCTGGACGCGATGAGATTCTAGATAGGCCGGGCAATACGACGATCTGACGAATCCACATTTGAAATCGAGGAGCTTCTTGCGGATAGCCGTAAAGTGAAGGAATGGGCGACTATGCTTTGCATGTTTGATTGATTGCTCGTGCTCGCCGCTCTTTACCATCTTTTGACGTTTATTCATTCCAAAGCTCATGAATGCTTAAAGCAGAACTCGTGCGTATGGAAAAAAAGCACTTGTGAAAGCGGGACCCGGCCACACATCCACGTTTGTATGCATTCCTCTGTCGTTCAATATCGCGGAACAACGAAGGAAGAGGAAGATAATGGAGAGCATTTGGAGAATCGGAACTACTTGTGGGATCAAAATGAAGCATTTATACTAGACTCCAAAGAACATAGATTCCATGACCGGAATATATCCAGGTAGCGGTGTCGCTGAGATGTTACACACGTGCGAAGGTCGATAAAAGGCCGGCCTCCTCGAGGAGGGTATCACCGGTTGCGTTGGTGATCTCGAAAAGTATATAGGCCCTGAACTTCAAGTATAGAAGACCCCTAAGGAGAATTAATACCAGATAAGTGCGGCAGGTGTCTTAGCTCAGCGAGACAAACAAATTTCTTTATGACCAATAATACATAGTTAGTTAAATGTCCTAACTAAAGTTTATGACTTTGTACCTAGATATTACCATTCCTGGTTATCATAAACAGCATCACGATGCATAGTAGGCATCTATCAAAGTATAAACAGAATTTTCATAGTGTGGCGTAAACCTCCACAAATTGGATGTGGCTGGGCTCAAAAGGTGGAAGAAAGGTACCTAGATATTACCAGAGAATACGAATGACGAATAAGAGATAAATAACAATAAACAGAGGGGAAACAAGGCTTCCCAGATCAAAAAGCGGAATGGAAGTCTACTGCTTTTGTGAATCATGCGTGAAAGGGTATTGACTGTGTCTTGGCTCTGCCTCAGTAGCGCACTGCGGAAAGGTCGCCAAACGTCACGAATTTGCTTGGTTGAAAATTTCGAGTTGGTCTGAACACTAAGATAACTTTATACCGACTTTTTGAGCCGACTTTTTGCGCCGACTGTACATGGCGAGATCGTCGTCAGTGGCCTTAGGAAATAAGAAACTTGTAAAATGGCTTCTATCTTATTCTAATAAGAGTCCTTTGAACCGAGACTGTAAAGCTGATTTCCTCTTCGCTAATAAAAGGGTTCTAATGCACATGAAGTACTAAGATTGTTGATCTAGTCGGCAGTTGTCTCGCGATGTTCACCAGAGCCATGCATCGCCAAAACACCATGAGGTCTGTGAAATCCTCGCCGTCTGTTATCTCTAATGCCTGTCTCGTATTCATGCACATCGAAACTAGAATATCTGGCTTCATGGAAGAGGCTCAAGCAGAGCAGGCTGCTCTTGAGACGCGGACGGCACAAAGTTCCAGAAAAACCTGTCTGTTTTGATGGCAAAGGTCAGAAACCTGATTGGTCACACCTGCGCATTGTGCCCTTTCTAAATGTCTTGCTGAGCAGGATTTCTCTTTTATAACAACACTTCACATTCCTTCCGCAAGAATGAATGATACTCTCGACGTGGATAATACTTATTGATTATTGGCGCAGGGGAGAGGGGTACCTCAAGATACCACAAGCCAGAGTCCATTTCTAGTGCGTCGTCTGCCGGGCTGCAGATTTCTCTGTACATTCAGCGTCAGGAACATCAACCTTCTCTAACGAACCCATCAAGCAACATCAGGGTTGAAATGAAATCCAAGATGAAAAGAAACTACTTCTCTCCGGTACAGGTGACGGGACTTTCAGCGAGGCTAGTATCCTGGATTCAACCGGCGGTTACCATGTAGAATGACAGAGACCAAGCCCAGCACAAGCACGCCCACACACACACATTCCGCACTAAAACATTCCCCATCAACCGCAACCATGGATCACCATACCTCTACACCAGTCCTCGATTTCTCCGCTGGCAAAAGCCTCTTCCGAATCGAAAGCGGCCCGAGACCCGAGACCCGAGACGCCTCCAGTCTTCTCGGCGCCAACCCTCCGGATCGACGGTCCCGCAACAATGCCGACAACCATCGCGCATTCTCCTCCTCGCTGTTTTCTAGCAATCTCCTCAACGAGGCCTAAACGAAATTTCTCCGCGCTGAAGAGAGGGACGATGCTCACGGACAGCGATCACGAATCGGTCCTGTCCAAACCCATCTTGTCACACGAATGTCAAGGCGGGGGGTAGTGAGCCACTACTGTCGCTGCTGTTGTTGCTGCGAAATCGTCTCAACAACTTGGGAGACCTCAGACACAGATAGAAGAAGCGACGACGGTCTCGTACACACCGCTCAATCCGCACACGGCTGTCCAATGCCGACTTCAAACGTCCTTCAACAATTCGCCCCTCTCAGGTGGCAGGTAGACAGACAGACAAGCAAAACGTCTTCATCCCATCGCCCCATGCAAGGCGCGTCAGATGCTAGCAGATCGCCCGAATAAAACAGGCGGCGGCCGGCGACTGAGGACCAGGAAAGCTGTCAACGTCTCCAATCAGCCCCCTATCCTCTCCCCTCTCTGCGTATGTTTCTATGCGTTTGGCCAAGAAAAGAAAAAAGAGGGAAGAAGAAGGGCTCCATCAATACCACGCCTCACATAAAAAAATATCCTGAAAGTGACACACGCCGTGGATGTCCAGTGACGGGTGTTTCGTCCCTTGGCATTCTCCCAATTAACACCCCGGACCAGACGTGAAGAGCCTCATGATCGAAAATGGTGCATGTTAGCCGATGACACGTGCGGAAGGGCGGTAGCATGGCAGGGTTGGCATGAGCCCCCGGGCACCCATTTTTGGCGGCGGCGGCGGGTTTCGCCTGAAGTCGGACGGGGCTGTCGGCTGGTTTTAGTTTTGTTATATCAATGTCTGGAAAAACACGGCGACATGCTATTTGCCATGCTTATGGCAATTGGCCTGGGAGGGGACAGTGGGACGTCTCTCCGGCAGGAATTGCCGATTGTATGTTGTATATTCTAGACAGCGGCATTTTTGTAGGGCTGGATTGGGCTGAGGTTGTACGGGAGATGGATCGTGGTCGTCGTAGTCCTTGTGTTCATCATCGACCTCTTCGTCATCGTCCTTCGCCTTCAGGTCCAGCCTCACGCTTATCCTGGCGTCTATCATCATGCCTCGATCGTCAGATTTTTCTGCCCCCATCAGCAGACGCCGAGGAGTAATGCGGCTCTAGACCGGGCGCTTGCATACTGTCTCAAACGGCTGCGTGGAAAAATAATGCCTCGGCACTTGAACCATGTTCAACTTGAATAGGTTAGAGAGAACGAATTTTGATGGCGAAGACGAACGATCCCGACCGGCACTTGCCAAGTACGATAGTAGCCAATA